AATGACACCATCCTTCTGGGAGTTGGTTTCAGAATTCTTTTGGCTCCTTTTCTCTGTCCTGTGCCTTTCACATTCTACCAATCCCCTAGTCCCATAGCTTATAGACACCACTGTGGACTGAACTGTATCCCCTTACAACTCATATATTGAAGCCTTAACCCCAAAGTGATTGTATTTAAGACATAGGGCTTTTAGGAGGTACATAATGTTAAATAAGGTCATAAAAGTGGGGCCCTCATTTGACAGTGGTCATATTAAGGGCACACTGAGAAGGTGAGTGTATATATACAATCCAGGAGGAGCGCTCTTACCAGAATCCGACCAAGCCAGCACCCTGATCTCAGACTTCCAGCCTCCAGAACTTGAGAAAATGCATTTCTATTGTTTAAGTCACCTCATCTATGGCACCTTGTTATGGCATCCTGATACTTGCCTATGCAGTAGTGAGAGTATTCTTCCCTCTCTGCATTGACACTGTCTCTACTTGAGTTGACTCTTCATTATCATTCACTTGGACTTCTGTAGGAGCCACCTAAATGGTTGATTCTTCTTTAATCTCTTCTCATCTCTGATCCAATCTACACCGTGTTGCCAGATTCGGTTACCTAATTATGCCATTCTTGAATTTAAAACCTAAAGTAGTTCACTTTAGCATGCAAAATTAAATATATTTAATTATGTAGCCTCCTCAGCTTATCATTCAAGGTTATTACCCTATACAGACCCAACCTAGCCTTTCACCCAGTTAGTGTTTTTCTTGTGTGTTATATTCCAGTCAGGTAGGACTGCAGGTGTTTGTACAGACAGCCCCCCCCCCCCCCCCCCCCCCCCCGGGTTTAGCTTCTTTCGTTACTCTGTTTCTGCTGGGTCCATTGTCTGAGTTGGTCTCCTCCCCATTCCATCTCCGCTTATCAAAATCCTTTACCTCCTTCAAGGTCCAACTCAAACACACATCCTCTGTGAATCCTTATCTATATAATAGGATTTCACGTGTTTTTTTTTCCTTCTTTGATCTCCTGTAGCTCTTTGCTGGTATTTCTCTGTGACAGCACGCATATTCTGCTTTGTATCATAGCCTTTGTCTTTTGGCTTTTCATAACCACCCCCATCCCACCCATTCTAACTAAGCTCTTTGATGGCAAAGAAATTAGGATCCCTGAAATATTAAACAAGGCTATTAAGAAAAAAAAAAAAAAGAAAACCCACAGTACTGCTCTATATTTAAAAAAAAAATAAAGATTATAAACAATTAAAAGGCACTTCAGTTTTTTAATAGAATTGATTTTTAATTAGTCTTGCAACTGCAGTATTCCCTACATTTGTATCTGTAAATTGAAACTCCCAACAGTAAATTCTATACTCAAGCAGCAACAATTTCTGTAAATTGAGATTCCTGGGTAACTTTAAGAAGGGAAAAGCACAGCAAGTGTGAAAGGTGTTTTTTCAATTGACAATGAACCTTGATAATCTAATAGCTAAAATATGTCTGCTATTTTCAATTTTTATTTTACATGAGGTGGAAATAAGCCCACTTCAGCTTGATATAGAGTTTATAATTTGATCTCATCATCACAATATGACTTATAATACGTAGGCATGAGATCATTTCTTATTGGAAAAGGGGGGGGAAGCTTTAGCAGTTAACTCTCAAGATTATTTTCCAACATTTCCCCTACCTTTTTGTTGTGGAGCAAGAAGATGGAGAAGTGATGCTTTTATATGCTGATAGTTAAGCTGCCTGGAAGCAGATGCTGAATCCTATTGAAAAAATTTCATTTGAGTTATGCTTAGGGCATTGTTTAGCAGGATACTACACAAAGAGTCTTGACCTGTGTGTTTGAAATGGCAGATGTTCACAGAGAAGATTGAGCCTTAGGGCAACATAAATCTTCACTATTCTGTGCCTATTTGCTCAATAACTGGGTTGAATGAAAAAAAAAAAAAGGTCTAGAGAGTTATTTATTTACAAAGCAGCTGCTCTTGCTGCAAATGGACGCGTTCCCCTTAAGATAAGAAAAGCAAGCAAACAAACAAAAACCCTAAGAGCCCAAGCAAGCGTTAAAGTCAGAAATGAGCACCTCTTCTTCCTCAGAATTTTGTTTCCATGAAATATTTTTGATGCAAGGCAGGTGGGACAAGAATAGGATTTTTTTTTTTCTTATTTCTGCCAAAAGGGGAATTTTCAGTGACTCCTTTAAATCTGGCAAAGCATCAGAAAAGCACAACACTAAGCACCTTCATTCATTTGACAAATATTTATATTCTTCTGTGTGCTCAACACCTTGCTAAGTCTACGGGTTCAACTACAAGGTTCACATAGCTAAGATGGCACTAATATTTTAAATAAAGTTTGAATTTGCCTCATTCTATATTGAAAAGAAAACAAACTAGAATTTTTGGGAGGCAGGCCTGGGGTGGGGGGAGGACAGTGGTAGCAGCAAGTGAGAATTTCTCTCCATGTATGGGACACAGAAAGCAGCCTGGTTCCTGTATCACAAAGCCTAACTTTTGAAAAGCTCCATAAGTATCATTTTGTTTTTACTATGAAAGTATGGATATATTTGAAAGCACATGTAGAAACGATAAAATCCAACCAATTTAAAAGAATATGAAAGATATCAGGATATTGATCTAGTGTGTTAAAAGAGGTCTTAGCAAGAAGTAGCTGTGGCCAAATGGTAAATTGCAGTTTAGAGCTGCACGCAAACAAATGTGCAGGTTTAGGGAGTTTTTCCTTGGCTCCAGGCGGCTCCGGAGCCATAGTCTCTTAGGGAATGGTGACTGGTAATCAACATGGTTAAAATGTACAGATACGCAGTGTGCCCTCTACTTGTTCTTTGTCTTTCATTTCTAGTATTCATGTGTACTATTTTAGCCTCCTCTTGCACACACAGTAGGACACTCACACATGCACACATACATATATAGCACACTCGGCCACACATGCAGTCACTCAATGTGGTGAACCACTGTCATTCGTGCTCTGCCTGTATTTTTCTTCTTGTTTTAGGAAAATTTTTCTTCCTCTCCTTTCCCTCCTCTCTCCTTTACTAGTCTTTTTTTCTTTGTTTAATCTCTCCTGCTTTCTTTTTTCTTTAAATTTATGGAGCAAAAATAAAACAAAACGGAACAAAAAAACTATGCTTAAGAGCAAGTGTCCCAAACTTTCTCAAGTTTATGGCATTCTGAGTATCCTAGTAATTTTTTTCATGGTGCCCTGTAGGCCAAAAGAAATACTTCACAGCTCCATTTAATTAGTAAAATAAGTATGTATGTGCTAACAACTTTGTGGCCCTTTAAAAAAAATACATGAAAATTGAAAGAAAAATCTCTTTACTTCATACTTAGAAACCCACAGTTACTTACTAATGGTATGTGTGTGTTTGCCTGCTGGGTACAACCTAGCCCTCAAAGCTGGGAGTCAGATTGGATGTTGTCATCCTCATTTCTCACTCCACACTGGTTTCTCGCGCCACACTGGTTTCTCACTCCACACTGGTTTTCATGCAGTATTTGCTTTTACATTACAAATACTATCAAAAATCCAACTTCGCAAAGTTACCCTGTCATTGAAATGAATGTAGCATAATCTGATATTGAAACTGTGGATTACTTCAGGTGAGTAATTTGTGTTAAGCCTGATGGATGTTGCTGTGTTTTTTCATGTATTGAAAATATTTTATCGTTCTGTGAATTTACAGTGGTGTCCATGGCACACAGTCTGGGAGCTGGTGGCTTTATAGAAAAAGAATAATATTTGTATCAAAGTAAAATAAAGTCAGGTGCTTGAAGTGGAAGTAGACATATTAAAATCATTAATCTCAAAAGTTCATCAAAATGCCCCACATTCTTTTTTTTCATCTTCACAAATGTGTCCACCTATCATTTCATTCTTGTATAATAAGGTTCACTTTTTTAAGCACCTATCCTTAAGATTAAAAAGCAGGAATTTCACTTCCAATCCAATTTTTTGATTTACTGGTTTCCTAGTATTTCCTTTTTATTTTCTTTTAATAAAAACTCTATGTATTTAAGGTGGGTAACATGATGCTCAAATATACAGAGTGAAATGATTACTATAGGCAAGCTAATTAACGTAACTCAGTGGAGTATATGAGTATTATTTTAGACTATTCTTTTCATTAAATAATTACCATTTACAGTCAATTTAGCTTTTGGATTTAACCTAGGAGTCTAATAATGAACCATCTGTAACAATATCATGTGGAACATATTCTAACTTCTAACCAGTTAACTCACAAACACACTTTTGGAAACTAACTTTTTTTTATTGGAGATTTAACCATAGACGCTCCCTGCAGCAAATCAAGAATTTTACTCTATGTCATTTTAGTTATTTTCTTTACTGACTGTCCAAAAGATAGGCTGACTTTTGGTACAGAAGTTTTGGGTTTGCTTTTGTCCTTGGTGGACCTTCTTTGTACCTCCATTGGACAGTGTGCTTCTCAGCATAATTTACTTGCAAGGCTTAAGTGTAGGAAAGCAGTGGGAAGGTGGATAGGTTGCCACTGGAATTATCTTATTTGACTTTTGTTGCCTTTAAACAGATTGTTGATCCTGAACTAAAAATCTACAGACTGTTAGACCAGATTAAGGATCCAAATGCAGTAGTTGTGTTATTTTCAATTAAACATCTTTCAAGAGAAATGGTAGTACACTGAGTACAGAATTTGTTTAAAAAAATTTTTTTTGTTGATGTTTTAGAAGACAAGCACAAGCATTGTTCTGCTTAACATAAAAACTGCTGAAGATAAAAATAGGACCTACTTTGGGCATTTAATAGATCTTGTTAGATGAGAGCTAGAAAATAATTTGAAGTTTTATAACTACATAACCCCCTCTTGTTGTAAATGTATGTGGTGTCAGCCAGTACATTTTACGGTGCAAGAAACCAAGTAACTTCATCTTCTTTAGTAAAATAAAAGATTGAATCATTCAATTGATTTAATTTACAGGATGTTTTTCTGTTTATCTTTCAGACTTTATTGATCTGATCCAAGGTATCTTGGGACTGCTGGCTGGAATTAAGGTTGGTGGTGTGTTTATATTGATTATGAATAAGCTGTGAAATAAAATAGAAGCATCTTGGGCCTTTGGACAGCTGGGTCAACTAACTCTTGCAGAATGCGGTGTAGAAAGCTGAAACTTAGTGAGAAATGGATACATTTCAGACTTGGGGCACATAACTCACATGTTTTCCTGAGCCCCATTTGCTTTCCTAGTTCCTATAATTTCTTTAATTATCAACTATTGTTTCATTTGTTTTACCTGTCTTACTAGCTGAATTTTGATCAAATGAAAAGATCCAATTCTAATGTATTCATTTAATAAATACACATATCAAAAGAATGACTTCTTTGTAAGGCTGGCTAACATTTTAAAGAATGGTCAGCTTCTTGGGCTCCTGAGTAGTACAGTCGGTTAGGTGTCCAACTCCTGGTTTCAGCTCAGGTCATGATCTCCGTGGTCTTGAGATCAAGCCCTGAGTCAGGTTCCGTGCTCAGCGGGGAGTTTACTTGAGATTCTCTCTTTCCCTGTCCCTCTACCCCTCCCAACTTCAAAAATAATAAACAAATAAATCTAAAAAAAAAAAAAGGAAGAATGGTCAGCTTCCTGAATTTGAAGGGAAACACTTGAAGCCTGCAGTTTGGTAGCCACATTTCCTAAGGATGGTGGAGCTGAAACATTGCCTCTCAGTTGCAAATTTCAATAAATTGGCAAAAATCCTAAGATGTCATTCCTTTTGTTCTATTTTCTTGTTAGTTGGTTTTGTGGGAGACTCAAAACCAGCTTAACTGAGTTTAGAGTATTAACAGAGCATTAGAGGGCGCTCATATCAGTGGGCTTGAAATTTCATTTATCCCTTCTATGTTCTTCTCTAGAATATGTATTCAGATTTTAAAACAAAAGAAAAAGCTAATCCATGAATGAAATGAGGGCTTTTGTTGCTTATGTAAGAGCAAAATGCCAGGTGCTACTAAATCTTTTTTGTAGGGCTTTGATTAATAATTAACATAGAGAAAAACATTGGCTTTTCATTTATGCTTACATTAATCAGGAATTTAGCCTTCAAAGCCCATATTTACTCTTCAAATTCTAGTGTCTAGCACATAGCAGGCACACAGTAAATATGTACCTTTTCTGGCTTCAAATTCTGACCTTGTTTTTCCACCCCCAATACAAACACACACACACACACACACACACACACACACACACACACACACACAGGCATGCATGACTGTTATTTTTCTTTTTCATGTTGCCTGGCTTCCTTTCATATCCACTACTCAGTACATTCTGTGTAAACTTGCACATATTTAAACATGGAATTTCTTGTAAGACTTTGAACTTTTTGCTACTCCTCCTTCCCTGCTAGCCTCTGTCCTTCTGCCAAGCAGAAATGACAAGTAGAATGAGATTTTTGGCAAAGTATAAATCTTTGAATCAGAAATATTTAATACACAGGGTTAACTTTGAATTGCTTACATTTTGTCCCTCTTCCTTTATGGATTTTGTTTTTTTGTTTTTTTTAGATTATTTATTTATTTGACAGAGAGAGAGAGAGAGAGAGAGATAGCAAGAGCAGGAACACAAGCAGGGGGAGTGGGAGAGGGAGAAGCAGGCTTCCCGCGGAGCAGGGAGCCCGATGCGGGACTCGATCCCAGGACCCTGGGATCATGACCTGAGCTGAAGGCAGATGCTTAACGACTAAGGCACCCAGGCGCCCTATGGATTTTGTTTTACGGTTGGTATGGTCAGCATGGCAACTTGAAATCTCATCTCGTTTTGGCCACTTTTTAGAAGGAAGAAAAAAATAAAAAGAAGCATGTAAAAAGAAAATAAATAAAAGATTTTGTCTCTGCAAATATTGAATCATGTTATATACCTGAAAGCAATGAAAGACTGTATGTCAATTATACCTCAATAAAAATTTAAAAAAAAATTTTTTTAAAGAAATGCCCTTGCAATATTTTATTCAAATTCTAAGGTGTTTTTTCACATTAAACTATGTAAAATAAAAAAAAAAAATGCCGTAGTTAATTTGGCAGATATTTTTTTCTTTCTTTGTCAAATGAAATACATCTTATAATGGATTGTTTCTTAGGTTCTGTGAAATACAGTATTACTGAATTTAGATTAGGAAAAAAAAATAAATTCCCTAAAGTTATTACAAAAGGGAATCAAAGTGAAATTTAGAAACCAGAAAGTCACATTTGATACTGATGTTTAAAAACATCTTGCACCACACTTTTTACCTTTAAAAAATATGTATTGATTTTTCCAATTTATTTTTTTCTCTTCATTATTACTACCACTACCAGTATTTTGGTATATTTCCCTCCACTTTTTGTCTTACTTTTGTTTTCACAAAATTAAAGTTAAACTTTGTATTCTGTACCATCTGGTTGCTTGAAAATATGACTTTAATGATTATATGTTGTTTTATCCTACAGATATGCTGTAATTTTTTTCACTGTTCTACCTATTTTTGGACGTTCAGACTATTTCCAGTTTCAACCTGGACCTGGACCTCCCTCCTAATTCTAGTCTAGAGACTCTGCCTCAAATTCTGATGTTTTCATACTGCTGAGCTGCTTGCCATTAAGTTCTTTTATTTCAGTGTCTTATCTATAAAATGGGAACAAAAATAATCTATACTTCACTTAAAGATTAAATGAGGTAATGCATAGTTATGAGTCTTAAATAGAGAGGATTCCAAATCACTTTTTAAACCTCTATCAAAAGCCTTTCCCCCCCTTGGGTTTTACATGAGTAATAAATTCCGGTGCTTCTCTTAAGACAGGGAATAAAACTAATGAAGATCTTTAAATTATTGTCATAAAACAAAATATATAAACGAAGGAAGCCAGAAGTTATATATATATAAAAGTATATATGTATATATATATATATATATACACACTGACATTTATATATATTTTAAACTGGCCAGAAAGTAATTTCTCTATGCTCTGCTGAATGATACTATATCTTTTATTCAAGATACTATTAACAAACTAAGCAGCATATTGCACAATTGAGTGGACTTTCACTTAAGAAAAATAGTGTAGAAAATGTGAATACTCTAATATAATAGGAGTGGGGAGAGAGGATACTCTTATGTCTTCTGAGTAAGCTTTGTACTTTGAGCTTTGCAGAGTCAAGACCAACCAGTCTTGGCTGGCGACACTGTCAACCTTCAGTACCACCTCAGGGAGAAACCATATTTCCCCTCTCCCTTGCTTCACATTGTTTCACACATTCCTCATAGCATTTACTCAGACTTCTTTGTGTTATGATTAGTTCTGGACATTTCTTATCTCTCCTGCTAACTCATAGCAGCTGGGGTCTTTGCCATTTTATCTCACGCCCTAGTCAGGCCTTGCAGGAGTAGACACCCAGGAAATGCTTACTTTATGAATTATAAAGATTAGAAGCCACAATGAACAATTTTATTACATACCCATAAACTAAATATACAGCTAAATATATATGGATATGTATGTATATATAGGTTCTAATAATTATTAATCACTGTATTTTCTTCCCTGGTGATAGAAAAATTTGAGCAAAAAAGCAAGGACTTTGAACAAATCAAAAGACATTTGAAACAGTAACAATCATGAGGTTTAATTTGAGAAATTTAAAAAAGTAAAGGTATGAGAAAGGTAATTGTTTTGTCATTCTGCTTTATTCCTCCATTTAGCATAATATTAGTATAAATGTACTTACGGATGAAGACTTACCCAGAATTCTAATTATTGGATTGACATGTGACAGAGTGACTTTGAGATGCCAGAAAGATTTGTAAAATGCCTAATTATTTGCTTACCACTTTAAGGAGAGATACAAAGCTGTTAGCATCATATTTTTCAAACTGGAAAGACCAGTTGGTCCTAGGGAGAATTTGCTCTCTCCTGTGCAACTTTCCAAAATCTGAAGTATCATAAATACTTATTTCTTCCTTTTTATAAAAAGTAATCCTTCGTGTTACAAACACTGAAATCAAAAAACAAGCTTATGACATGATTTGGAATGGGAGAGGTGGGGGCTGGTTGAAGTGGGGGTGACAGGTGTAGGGGAGGAAAACTTTTACCTTCTTTCCTTCTATATTTTTTGGCTAGCCTAATAATTAAATTGACATAAGACAGACTAACAGGAGAAAAACAAATTCAATTTTGTACAGGAGCTTATAAAAATATGAGACGAAGAAGTGACCAAAGCAGGCAGCTTTTATACCTTTTAGACAAAGAAACAATAAATTTGTGAAAAATTGACAAGATAAAGAAGTTTGGGCTTGGGGGTAGTAAATTAGTGAGGAAGTAACAAGGTTTGTTTATACAGCCTTCTGGACTCTAAATTCCCTCTCTCCGGTGATAAGGATGTCTCTTTACCTCCTGGTACAGGGAGAGTACCTTTCATAAAGGAGATTTATTTCCTGCTTTCAGGAGGACAAAGGAGCGTCAGAGTGTCTTTCTTGCACTGGCTGTTCCTTAAGTAACTTGTATTTAAAATAATCAATATGCCAAAGTGACATATTTTAGGGTGGCCTGCCTAGAACCTAATCAGAGGCAAACTTGCTATCATTTCTCAATCTCCTTATATGATCTAGTGAAATACCTCAGGAAAATATGTTTCCAGAATTGCTCCTTTATTTTGACAGTCTTGACATACTGAGGAAATAGGCTTGTTGATGCCACAGAGGGCAAACAGAAAAACACAACTTGCTGGAACCATATTAAGTAACCGCTAATGAGTCTATTTTTTCCATGTTGAAAAAAAAAAATTCTAGCTGAGCCTTTTTTTTCTTAACTAAATGTTTGTAGTATCAGATGGCTACAAAAGACAGTCCGTTGGCTATGTTTTCATATAAACCCCTTGCTTCTGAAATCAATCCTGTGGATTTAATTCACTGATCAGCTAATTTTTATTCTGTTCCTGAATTCATGGGGAAGAAAGAATACTGTTCCCAAGAATAGCATAGCTGATTTTTTTGCAGATTATTTATATCATTAAAGAATACCA